TTATAGCAGGATCCCTACTTTATTTAAAGTTTATAAGTTTCAATTCTCTTGTTTGTTTACTTTTTATGTTATACCTGTATAAAGCATATACTTTACCTTTAGAAACTGTTGAGTGTCTATCCATCGATATGTAGCGCCATTCATTGGGTTGAAGAGATATTTAAGTACGTGCATATGTTTACTATTTATCATTATACCTATATGGATTTTTATCGGAATATCAAGAACAGATACCCATGCACCAGTCAACTATGCTGGAGAAATTTTGTAGAGATGATCCGAGCCGCCTGGGCGCTGGCCCATCTGACGTGATCAGGTAGGTAGGTAACAACCGAAGAAGTTGCTATTTTAGAAATTTTTGAACTGTTATACCGGAAATGTTAGCGACCTTTTTAGCCTATTATTAGTATATATGCGCATAATATATCGTAACTAATATTTTGAATGGCCAGTTTTTCGCTTAGGAAATCGATAGGGTGGTTTTTCGGCGCGTGAACTATTTGGAATGATTGCCGATCCCTACTATTAAGTACTACAGTACTTAAAATAACGTATTTTAGAAGTTTGGAACTTCTGTTTCAACTGGGTACGTGTTCAGAATTAGGTCTGAAGAAGAGTACATGTAATTTTTACAGTTACAGCATCAGAATCACTTGTATACTGTATATGTAAAGGTATATCTATATGCACGTTGTGTTCCATACTAGCGCAGTGTTTTACAAGATTATACAACCTGAACCAAGTTACAGTTCCAATGTCCATTTAGAGGAGTTTTTATAGCATGTGGAAAATGTGCGTTGATAATCAGTATTAGTGTATTAGAAAGCTCAGACAAAATTGAATATTCTAAGGGATTCAAGGTCAGAGTATGAAAGCTGCTGGATTGTTTCTCAAACAGACATGCTTTTTTAATAGTCAGTGAAATCATGTAGGATTTTTTGGGTATTTTAGCTTATATATATGAACGAATACACATTTTATGGCATGTAGTATGAACAACAGTTGGCCGGTACATATGAATTTTGTGTATCGCAAATGATTGTAAATATATATATAGGTGTCTGTATGTTTGATGTGCTTCGCTAGGTAATCACGCAATGCAATAAATATTTGTTCTTGTGTCCAGTACAAGTTGAAACACTTCACATCAACAAAGAATTTACTTATTTATAATGAACATAAAAATCATCTTTGAACTGTATTCAGTGTCTGGGTTGAGAAATGTTGAATATAATTTCTTATTTTCCATAGTAACTATAGACATTCTGGACAAGACCCTTTTCTTTACGTAACGTTTGTTTTTAAAGCAAAGCCATATTGGACTATCTACTCTGTACAATGTGGGGAAATCGAAACCCAGATTTTAGCATTGTAAGTCATCTAGTCAATACCACCCACCGCCAACTCTTGGGCTACTCTTTTACCGACGAATAGTGGGATTGATCGTACATATAAGGCCACCACGGCTGAAAGGTCGAGCATGTTCGGTGACAGGGATTCAAACCCGCGAGCTGTGCGCCATAACCACTAGGCCATGCCAGGCCTAGAAAATAAATTATAAAATGTTACCAAAGTTGAGAATCTTTCGACGTTAGAAGGAAGAGGAATTGTTGACATCTAACACTTTACCAAGAATATTAGAAAATGTAACCATAAAATGGCGAAGTTTTTTAAAGAAATATTAGTCATTATAAATAGGAAAACAAACAAACCAATAAAAAAAAAAGATGTTTATGTCCACGAAACATATCGAAGTTACAACTAGTCAATAGATTAAATTTTGCAAGATATTTATCAATAGCAAATTACGACCGTTGGACATTTTTTGAAAAACACATATTTGCTTCTTTCTGTGATACACGTTTTTTACGGTCACGCAAATTGTGAGCGACCCCTTGCATCATGGGAAAAGCACTATTAAATGCATGCATATTGTTCTACATTAGTAACTAGTATGGAGCTACTCTCGTAAAATAACAATAATATCAAAAAATATTAATTTGCATATGGCAAAAAATGTTCAGTAGTAAAAATACATTCTGGTGACGTGTGAATGACGTGTGTAGCTACAGTCTTTAACAAAAACCTCATATTTGAATTTACTATTGTTGTCCATGTTAACTTTGCCTTACCCATCATCGTGCCTCAAGTTGAACAAAAAACGTGGCCTGGCTAACTAATGAATGAATATTTGCTGTAAAGTTACTTATCAATACTATAAGTATAGCTACCAGTTTGGGCACTAATTTTGATTTGTTTCCTTTAAGTCGCATGCTTAATCTTTTTTTCGCCGCACCATTTTTTCACACCTAAGGTGTTTTTGATTAGATAGTTTTTGCTTTTCTATTTGAACTGTATAACCATAATAATTGTACAAAAACGTAAGACGAATATCAAATCAAAATAGTATTCTACCATCCATCACCTACGCTAAAAAACTGACTGTCACTCTTATAACGTACTCACAGTTTAATTTTGGGGGAGGGGATATTTTGTAGTATCGCACGGAATCAAACTCGACTCTCCTGTTCCGGAATCCGCAGCTCAACTACAGGGTCAACCTGCGCCATATTTTTATTGCTACAAATTTAACGTCTTGTAATTGGGTACGTAGAATCAGCATCTGGGATGTATTGTATCACAAGGGGATCTTGCTCAGAATCTTGATAAAACAGTTTTCTTTACGTTACATATCAGTAATGTAATATACCTCAGGCTAACAACAGCAATTTTATCATTCAACTGAGTCAAAAACAAGAATAAGCAAACAGCTTAATTTTATTGCATTCCACGATTGGCCATCACCACATCATATATATACACATATATGATAAAATTTTCATTTGTTTTACATCACGACTAACAATTTCCATAAGTGCTAACAAGTTAGTTAAATTTAACATCACAAACCCCGAAATTCTTAAAAGTACCTTATCTTTGATATGTTATTTACTACTTTTATGAATGTTTAAAATTATGCATAATATGTTTCGTCCAACAATCAACAAAGAGCATATTGGTTCATCTAGGCTGTCTCATTCTAAATGAAATCAAATAACAATCTCTACTTGCACGATGTATATTTGATTGTTCAATATTTCGCTTTACAGCTTCCTCATGGACAATTTATAACCTACAAGTCACTATTCATGTTGATAGCAGCTAGGTTGAAGTCATTATCATATGATAACAATTATGTCTAGTAATAAACTCCAGTTAACGTTAAAAGGTAAACAAAATACTTTAAACAATTTGTATTGTAATTTTCATACTTGATATTTACAACAATAAATTATTTAAATTATAAAAGTGGTAATTATAAAATTAAATCTAAATAAATGACCTTTCTAAAAGAAGCTCAAGAACTATCAAACTTAATACACATTTAAATATTACATGTAAATAACAGAAAATTTCACTTCCTTTACAATATATATATATATTTATATGTATGTGTATATATATATACATTCATACTGTGTAGGCCAAAATTAGCTTTAATTATTAACTTATTCTTTCATATAAACACAAATAAAGGGTATAGAATTGACAATGAAGGAAAAAATTGATGTGATAGTTATTGTTCTATAGAAATTATAGGAAAAAAATGATGTATTGGGACTGAACTAATCAGCATATGTCAAGTCTAGTATTCTATTTAATTTGTAACTGGAAAAAGTTACTATAAATTTTAAAAGATATTTGTTAAGGTTTCTGTTTTGTTTTATTCAGCAAAAACAAAGTAATTTCAATTCTAAAACTTTAGTTGGTGAAGCTACTTTTGGGCCAGCTTGTATATTCATTATAGGTGACACAGAAACTATATACAGAAAATTTTAGCATACAAAATGCAATATTTGAAATATCTAATCTTTTATGTAAGATCACTTTTCTTGTAGGTTTTAACACTTTTCTCAGGAATTAACTGTTCTTTGCTTAAGATGTGTTTTAGTATGCTAGCCCATACACTTCATTGGTTTTATATTTGCTATAATATTTCACTAATAATTATTAGTATATTATCTCCAAAATTCAATACTTTAATTTTAAAATTTGATGGTATTTCAGTATAAACATAATAGTTTATTTTACATCAAGAAATAACTTGTGTTATAAGTACTACATCATGATTAATGAAACTTACTAAATACTTTCTTATTCGTATGTGTAAAAATGTTATTAAAATATCATATTTTATAATCCAAAGGTAAGTTTGTACTTGCTCATGCTGAAAGTTACATATAACAGGAAGAAAACATTCAAATCAAAAATAACATTTTCTACTATAAACTCTATTAGGAGACAAGTATGGCCCAATGTTTAGAGTGCTAGACTGTGGAGCTGTGGGTTAGTTGTTCACACCCCTTTACTGTAAATAAAAAAGAAAAATCACACTCTGCACTTTTGAGCTGTGGGTGCTTATAAAGGAGACTGAAACATCCTAATAATTGGCCACACATATGAATAGCTCAACAAACAAAGAAATGAGCTCTACTAGAAACACAGGGAGAGAATCGAACTGTGTAGTACTGAATGGTTGTAATTTTTTAAAAAATTATTAAAAACTGAAGTACAATTATAATGTTGCAATTAAAATAAAAATAATGTTTCAAAAATTAGTGTAAATCTACACAATGGCTATCCTTAATTTTCAGTTGATAGACTTGGGGGTAGGCTGCTATTCAACAGTACCCACTGCTAACTCTTAGGCTACTCTGATCAAATAGTGGAAGTTGACTATTAGTCTTATAATGCACCTATGACCCCAAATTGTGGGGCACCTTTTGGCGGCAACAGGAAAAGAATGGACTAACAAATTCACAACCATGCCACCCCTCCCAAAAAAAAAAGAATGAAATACTAGTTTATTTTCCTTTACAACTGGAATGTTAAAAAAATAAGTGGTTATATTTAATACAAGGTCTGGAATTATTTTCTTCCAACATTACAATAAGATTTTTATATATTTTAATTAACTAAATAAACTTCTAAAAGTGAAACTGAATTATTAATGAATTATCTTTCAAAATTTAAGGTTTTTCTTGGTGATTTTATTTTGATTAATGTGACTAAAGGGGTAAACAAACTTTACTATCAGGCATTTTGTTACAAAAAAAAGAGGCTACTGAGGAATTGAAATAGAGCATGTGGTGGCTATGTACACGTTCCTAATCAGTGCCAAGAGCAGTTTTATGAACCTTGCTTATGCAACCACCTGCATTATCTGAATGAACATTAGTACAGAAAAAGTATATTATCAGAATATTCTTAATAGAAAACAATAAATGTAAATACATTCACAGATATATATATATATATATTATAATTAAATACTTAGCCCAACACAGTTTTTATTATGATAACTTTAACAATCAGAACACCTACCAACATGAGCACCACAGTATCACTGAATGAACACATTTACTGTAACTACATATTCTTTAAATTACATCCATTATTCTATAATAAATAACACGGGATACAATAATTTACTATAACAGATTTCAACATCAACTGAGTAGCATACTACCTTTATGGAATTTTTAGAACCACTTTCAAACAATTAAAGCTACTCATTAACACAACCATATGGTAAGTTTGAAAATGACCTTATTGCCTTATTATATCTGGGTAATAGGTATCTTGATTAAGAAACTAGATGTTCTTAGGTCGAGTTTTGTAAAGCTCATCAACAACTTGAGGGTCTGCGAGGGTGCTGAGATCACCAAGGTCACGATCATTTCTTGCAATCTTTCTAAGAATTCTACGCATAATTTTTCCAGATCTTGTCTTTGGTAACCCTGATGTGTGATGCAGAAATTCAGGCGAGGCAAATGGACCAATCTTGCTTCTGACTAATATCAGCAAACAAACAAAAATTGCTGATTTCAAAGTCAAATAATAATTTTTAATGGTTCAAAATAAAATAAAATGAATACACAGAAAGATAATGGAATATACTTATTTCCAAAACATCTGAATGTGATTATAAAATAACACATATTAATCTACATAACATTAACTAAAGCAATAAATTATGCAACTTACTTTGTTACTCAGTGCGAATTCAAATCAGTTTGATTTCCGAGACAATGTATGAAAATAAAATTTCATAACGCACAAGATATTATTTGAAGTGACAACTGGTAGAAATAAAAATGGCAGAAACACTCTCAGAGAATCAGAGACATACAATATATTCTCATGGAGGCTATTTATATTATCTTTTTATAGCTCAGATAATAATTTGTAATAAAATCAAATAGATCTTAAAAAACTTTCTGTTCACTTTATTGTAACTGTCACACTAAGCTATCTTTAATGGTTTTGAATAAAATATTATCAACGTCAAAAATATACTTGTGTATAGAAACACATTATGCTAGTATAATAGTGAACTGACAGCCAATGATTTATAATCACAATGAAGGGATTTTATTTTGGGGGAAGTAACTATTTACTATTAGAAATTTATTATTTAATGCACAGAAAAGATGGATTACGGCACTGTCTAGCACTAAAAAACATCAGTCTTCTAAAGAGAAGTTGTATGCAGTTTCCAGTAATTCATATCTGACCAGGTAGGCAACAAAATTTTTGACATTTTTATATCATTTAACCGAAAGAGTATAACTTAAAATCTACTATAGATACAAGGAAGTAGGTAATTATAAAAAACTTCAATTAATTAATAACATTTTAACATGCTTAATAGCAATACCAATATCATATTTATTTTAACACTAGTAAGGTTTGTTTAGTAAATATTATAAAAATTATTTTTAAAAAATCAATATTCATTTTACATGTATAAATGTGTTCAATTTTGATATCTTTCAAAGAGTATGATCCTGTTTTTATGTTAAACAAATAAATCTTATTAACCATAAGTGAATTAAAATACTTTTATTAGAGTAAGTGATACTTTAAATGCACATTTAATGAGGTTGTGTTGATCAAATATCAGTGGTTTCTTCGATCAGAACACCAAGATCTTTTTCTTCAACCACAGTATTTAATGAATTCCCACTTAAATTGGAACAATAATCTTACATTTTGGGTAGATAATCTTGAACATGGTAGAGAGGAGTGGTTTAAACATAACGATTTCACTACTGACTCATGAAATCATCAACAGGTCACTGGTATTCGAAAGCATTCACAATCACAAGTTTGAAACAGTATTAATCATATGTTGAAGAACCTTTTGTAGTATTTGCTTCATCATCTCTTATTAAGAGTTAGTATTTTAGTTTTAATTTTTCCATATATTTTCAACAGAACAAGATTTTGTCTATTGTATCACCAATACGATTAAGAATAACAAGGTGTAAATCTATCTTTTGATCTGGTATCTTGTGAAACTAATGAAACTGTTGTTTGTTAATGAGCATGTTCAGATAATTGATGTTAGATAAGTGGCACTGGCATTTGAAATCTGACTAAACAGTTCAGTCTTATATCTTTCATGCATATCAGGGACAATTGTTTCCAAAAAATATGTTTTGCTTAGTACTTGGTATGGTGATCGTGTTTCCTTCTTCTAGTGCAGAGACCTCCTTGTCAGATTTTTGTGCTGCTTTCCATCCACCACCATGTGAAACTAATGTGAAATGTGCTATACAATTAGTACTTTAAAATCATACAGGACACTTTTGCATTTTAACTCACTCATTATAATCAGTAAACATGGAAGTTATCACTAAATCACTCTTAACGCCACTGACAGTAATCATTAACTAAGTCAGCCTCATAAGTCAGAGTGTGCACTGAAAGTAACAGGTCTGTCCATATCTTGCTTGCTGACATATTACAACTTGCATATGTTGGAGGCCATACTATGATCATTTTTAACAATGTATTGGACATGTCCAGACAAGAATATGCTGTAGATAAAATAATTTCTTCTCTGTTAAAAAAATACTATTGGAGTTACAAAAAATTAAACAAGTCCAACTACAATATAAATATTCATCAGCAATTCTGTTATTTGTTCATATTGCAGTTACAGACATTAAACAAGTCCAACTACAATATAAATATTCACCAAAAATTCTGTTATTTGTTTAACTTTCTCAAAAATTTCATATTTACTTTTATGTCCAGTAGTTTCCACTGTTTTGCAAAACTAATGAAACTGCTTGTTTAAATAAGTATATCAGCTATTCAGCAGCCAAATAATCAGTTATTTAGCCGAACTGCTTGGCCAGGTGTGTGTTATACATCCGAAATACTCTCCATTGCATCTAGCTTTCAAGCATAGGAAGTATATCACAAATCTTAGAAAATCTAAAGAGCGTACTGAAATAATTTTTGTAAGATACAAGTTCTTACTGAGATGATTACAACAGTGAGCTAGTTTTTTAGTCTTTAACATATTTTTCAAATTAATTATTCAAAATGATATTTAAACAATTAAAAAGCATGGTTAAATCATTACTGAAACTTGATGGTTACTACATCATGTTAATCTGGTAAAATATTTAGTGGGCTAATTAATAGTTAACATCAGGAAAAGTAAATTCAAAAAGTATTAACTGAAGTGTTAGATGTTTAAACAGTTTAAAGAAGAATGTTTAAATGGCAACTAAATGTGAAAGTCTGAAAGATGAATATGAAGTAAAATTTTTTCTTTATGAAAAGGAAAAAGCTGTCTTCTCATTCTAACTTATGTGCTTCTATAGTACTCAGGTGCACTGATACCCTACAGGAACCAAAAGATTATTCTGAAATTAGTTCTGAGATATAACCTTTATTAATATTTACAAAATTCAGAAATATTTCAGTACATGTCAACTAAAATATTTATGAATCAACACTACTAAAGACTAATATATATATAATAAGATTTCTTTCATTTCAAGTGCACAAGTAATTAGGATTTTACTTTAAAAAGAAAGAGTCACACAATCAATGAATAGCTCAGTTGCCTCAGTAAGATATTCCTTCACCAACATCAGTAAAAATGGTTATTCACTACGTTTTTCATTGTGTAATGTGAGTTCTCTAGCAACTTTGAGTCTTCCTGACAGTGAGAAATTAGACATTTATGAATATTTCAGTATGGGATCAAACTGTATAAGAAAACATAGAACTCACTGTGTTTATCACGCAGTGTGGTCTAAGTTAACTACTGCAGTCTTTACATAGTATCCCAATATTCCAAGCCAAGTTCTTTATCAACCTGTTTCAAATACATAATAGTAAACATGCCTGTGCTGTTGCTCATATGTATCCAGTGTCATATGTTAACAAATGTGCATTTGTATTAGTTGATGTCACCATACAACAGCTAATCTGGTTTCCATGGCAATCAACATCATTGTCACTTGGGCTATTCACATGTGACAAACACTTATTAGGCTTCAAGTGCACATTAAGAGTTATACTTTGTTCAACTCAAATGATCTTATATAAATAAAAGTAAACATCGACAGAAGTTAGAAGAAATTACTTATGTTGTTATAAACATCCATCCAGATAACATTTCATATCAACTGCACATACACAAACATATACACATAGTTCAACATAGAAAGTACATGAAGGGCAACAGCGAAATCACTTTTGCTATCATAACTGTCATATGTATCCCACTCATACCATCATCTAGGGGTTGTGCAAAACTCACAACATTAGACAAACACAAAAATTAACTAAGACATAAATATAATAAAATGTTATATAGTTTGCTTGATTTATAAAGTTATTCTAATCCTTAAGCTGTATGACAACACAACTCCCTTACTACACCTCAGGAAAACAGTTATACACCAACCAGACAGTCAGTTGCAGGATTGCATAGTGACACAACACGAAAAGTCACACCAACTAACACATAGCATTACAAGTTCTCAGAACGTTTATGACAGCAAATGTCCATCAACATTCCCCACAAAACTTAATGCTTGGAAATCAAGGATTGTAAACTCTTTTCAGCATCTTGGTTTATCATAATTACCAGTCATGTTTAACACTTGAACCCAACTGCCAATTTCCTTAGAATTTTACATAACAACCTCAGCTAGATAGATCAATTATTGGAAAATGTCAGACCAGAAAGTAAGGGTCACAACACCCTTTCAGTTATCAATTTTTCAGCCAGCATCGAGCGATTATAAAATGGTGTCCTGATGACATCTTACAGTGAACTATCACTCAGCAGCTTGAAACACAAAGAACACCATATCCTTTCAGTCAGTTAACAGGTTTAACTGCTGGTCAAGAAGATAATTCCAGCCATAATAATTATGGATACATTTCAGAGTAGATAGATTGTCCTCCACTGGCATGTCCTCATCTAAAAGTGAGATAAGGACTGGAAATTTCCTCTTCCTCATCAACTAAGACGAGCTCATATAATACAATACTCTCATCGTCACTGTAAACCTACTCATCCAACTCTGATTATTGGAATAACCAGTTCTCTAGAAATTTGTTATTGATGCAGACTTTAAAGTTGTTAATGTGTTTTATGTGTGCCACACAACCACTGTAGCTAATAATTCACTTAGCTGCACTATTGATATTAGGAACAATCTAGCCAGAACTGAGTTGACTTTGTGCTGCAGGCACAAACCATAACAATACCCAGTCACAGGCTAAAACGTTTTTCTATATTATTATTTTGTAACAGAATCTTTGTTGATATACAGCTGCTTGATCCATTTGCTGTTGTTCGAATTTATGTGTATTAACTATTTGTGAATGGAGTAATTCCATATATTTTTGTGACCAGTTCAATACTTTTGTACTGATTGAAAGCCATATATCAGATCCATAAGGAAGTTATATCCTGGTCTTTGTGAATTTCTCCAAGTGTGGTAAAGCATGATTTTCATTATTCTGTCACCACATTTGTGACAGTCTGTGTTCATGTGATGATCAACATATAAACTTAAGCTCATTTGGAGATGTAATCAATAATGACTAGTACGTACTGGTTACCTCTTTCAGCTATATCCAGGGTGATTCACTTTTGAGGAGAACCTACCAATCTCTGTTGGAGTTTCCCTTGGCACAGCTGAATTTTGGGCTATAGGAAATGAACATTATGCAACATCCATACTATCCCTTAATGTCTTGATGTGAATGTGGTCTGAAAATCTATTTTTCATGTTTGCAATAGTGCATGATACTTCCTGTTGTCCTACACTCTCTGCCTTATACAAAGTCTAGACTATCTCCTGTCTTAGAGATATTAAGCTTACTATCTGCATCAGTGGTTGGCTACCACATCTTGATGGTTCACAACAATGGTACATCTCATCCTGCACTTGTAACTAACTATACACATGCCAGATGTTGTGGGGCAGTTTACTACATTCATCAGTTTAGAATGGATGTACACTATCACGGTGCACAGCAATTAGCACTAAAGCTAAGTCTGGGTCCTTCAGTTGCTCCTTCCAAAGTTCCTGATTGGTCATTCATTGTGTTTAGCAGATTTAGAATTGCCATTGCTCATATGGTTCATTTTACTGTTGCAAGCAAATATGTTGACAATTCCTGCAATAGGTTCATCCCTAAGATGATAAGCATAAAACCAGATAAGAGAACATGACCGTCACTCAGCATGCAATGTTACCAAGATGAAGTTAGAGACGTGCACATACACTCATGTTTAGCTTATTGCTATTTGACAGAATAGAGTTTGTGCCTACTGGCTGAAATGGTATCTTTCCACAGAGATTATGATAAGGTTGAGTCAGATTTTGGCTGCATCAGTATCCATTAAAAAGTCAATCTTGTGCCCATTTTTGACACATACATGCGATGCCCAGTCCATGGTTCTCTGAATGCACTACCATAACTGACTATGGTACACCCCCCTCCTAGTTCACAGCCATTTCCAACTTATGCTTAAACTATCTGCATTAGCCATTGCCAGTTCTCATTGTAAACCTTTCTGCATCTGGTGCAGCATCGGCTTGAGTGATACTTATGTCTGATGGTCCTATATGGTGACAGGATATGGAAATTCATGAAATCAATGATCAGGCACCACAGCTGAAGCAGGCTATTCTTCCTTCATGTATTTGATTCTTTCAGGAATACATTTTCAACTATACTGTCAGCCCAGCCAGGGCAAATAGAACAGGGAGACTCTGATGGCCTTTTGTGAATCAAAGTAACTATGTCAAGATACCTTGCCACACTTTGTGCAATGGAGCAACAGGCTCATGCTTCAGTTCGTACCTTGAGGGGGAACCGTAGATTTTGAAGGCTGTTTCAGAGCTGAGTCTACATCTAAAGTTGCCACTACTGCCGAGTTTTTCCTCTACTCCAGTGTACACTTCAAACCAGCTTGTTACTGAAACTGCCTCCATGAGATATGTCCCTTACACACATGTGTTTCTGCATAGTTACATTTGGTAGATCCTCTCTACATTTGTCAGTAAGTTTTTCATTGTGACATGCAATCTCCATAAGTCACCTACATAAGTAGTCACATTATTATTGGCTATTTCTTTTGATCTTTGAACCTGACTTTTGGATTTCTCTCTTCTCCAAAATGTCACATCTGTAGAATAATGCATTGATAACTGTGTTCTAGTCACAGAGTTGCTCCTCATCCAAGTGTTTTAAGGCAATTAGTGAGGGATTATTTAAACTCAGCATCAGATGTTGAACTGCTTGTTCCTGAGTCCATCCATTCCAGCAGTAACTTGCTTGAAACACTTGACTAAATAGTATAAATCCTCATTAGCAATCCCCTTGAACACTGGTGGGTTTACCTGTTTCACCTCCTCTCTGTAATTAAATGGTGGTGCTGACAGGTTTCTGCTACTAACTTATTTGTTGAAATACAGACATGAAGTTCCACAGACACTATACGAAGTAGCATGTACAAGAGAAAGTACACCATTCATACTGACTTGTACAAGTATCTATACCACCTGTTGAGATGGAAAATGTTCTGCCTAAGTGAGTTGACATAGACACATGGTCAAAATAGTATAAGCTTCTATGGAATATTTGTTCTCATATGTAACCTTTACAGAAGCAAAAGGATTACCATATTTATGACCTTTCCACATCTGGTTAATAGATGTCATTGCTATCAAAAGTTAGAAGAATTACCTGAATATTCCTTGCTACAGATATATTCTAAGGTAGACATGGAAGAGTGAGATTAACAGTTATTAAAAGTGTGACACTTTCATACATCAGTTAGATTCAGCCTGTTCAGTATAATATATTGTTTGTATATAAGTAATTAGTATAGCCCTCTTTTTGCAATTTTGGACATTCACAATCACTGAACAATTCACAGCTAACTTATTTTGATACATAACTTTATCTATATCTAAGTGATTGAAATAGTAGAAGTAAAACTTTACTGAAAACATAAATACCTTAATTATAAAATATAATAGCAGATTAGTTACCTTTAGCTCTCAGTTCTTTTTCGACATCACTATTAAACTGATAACCCTACATAAAAGAAAACAAATATGTATATGAATGAAACATAGCATACATAAATTAGTGTAATAAAGAAATTGCCTTTTCTACCAAAATATATTTTTTTTTCATAAATAATGGTTAAGAAATACTGTGTATATGCAATCAGATTTATGGAAATGACAATGCTTAATATATTTTATTAAATATCTGCAATAAATCCACTTAGGTATTTATTCTTTAAGACATTAGTTTTGAAGTTTCCAATGGTGGATTGAAATGGTACTTCAAATGATGATCAAATTATTCAATGGCAGTATAAAATACCATGATTCTCATGACAAATAAGTTAGAGTACGGAGCAATAAAGCAACATTAAAATAGAGATGTTTCACTTACAACATGTATGGCAAAATATTGGCAGGTAATGTACTTTGGCATTTTTAAACTCTCTGAATGATAACTCTAAATCCTGAAAAATGATCTGACAAATGAAAGCTTTGCAAGGGGTAAAGTTATTGGGATTAAGCAAACACCACTGCCAGCTTTCCAGGGCATTTTGTAAATTATTTAAATGCATTATAAATAATGCCCAAGATGATTTCATCTGACATGTATGCATTGGCCAAGAATCACTGTTGGTATTTACTACATAGGTAACATTGTACATGGAGACTGCAAAGCTCACAGAAATAAAAGTGGCTTTAACATGTGATTCTGGTAGAACAAATAATTAAGCTTCACTGGTGAAGCAACTCTGTAAGTAACTCTCTTCATGATTCTAAGTCTTAAAGAAACAAATGTTGTATCATTAGGTATATATGAACCTTATTACAAAACGTCTTTTGAACAAAATTATCAAGTAGAATAACATTATTAGCAGTAGTTTTTATAAAGCTACATCATATTCAATATTGTAGAAATTTCAATGTATCATAAATTATTTTGTCTTTTGTAGAGCTTTTTCTCCTTTTGAGATGTGAGCAACAGTACTCTGTTTACACAAATGTTGTACCTTTTCCTAGTTGCTAATCTTATTTCACAGAATTATTAATTATTAATTCGTACAGTGTAAGAACAGATTAGTTTGTAGGACTAATATTTAAGCCATTCATTTTTATAAATAACTTTCTTCTTAAGGCACAAGTGAATACCAAGTGATTCTACTCATTTATCTATGGTCAGGTTATTCTATCTAGTAACTTTAGAGTTCAATGAACTCTATTATAGACATATGTACAAATTATTGTTTAACAATTTTAGCTATAGGAATTAACTTCCATTTAAAGAATAAATGTACAAAACATTTACCACAAATCAATTAATATAAATATAGCTGTTCATTCTATGACTAAAGTCAACCTGAAAGTCATATAGCCTTTTTGATTTACTTCCCTTTGAAAGGTCATGTAAAATTGTTCATGAAAAGATCAAAAACACTGTACACTGAATAACATATGAAAGTCACCATCCTATATTCAAAATAGTGGTGACAAGATGTGCCAGGAATGTGATGTTACTAACAACAATAAAAAGTAACTTATTGCCACTGGCAAGTTTCTAGAGAAAACAATGTCTTCCAGTATCAGTACACCAACCTTGATAAAATAACATGGAAGATGGTTTGTTAATGACACACTTGAAACTTTACTCTCAACAAAACTACTTATACTTTTATACTCATAGTATATAAAGATAAATTATTTAGATGTCACTGGCTGTTCTATCTTCAAGATAAACAACGAGGACATATTTACAAAAAATGTTCAAAACCTATTTTATTCATTTTTTAAGGAATACTGTGACTGTCTACAAAATATTGGTCTCTCAGCTCTGGATATAACCACAACTGTGCATGTTTATATTACTACAATTTCCAACAAAAATAATACTTTGAGAATATATCTCACCCAAAAGTTACTAATCATTAGAAATAATATTTTCCCTTTTAGTTTAGCCACTGTTATGGATGGTATTGACAAATAAGATATACAAATAAAGCTATTATTTGTTTGAAAATTGTTATAACGTTTTTTTTATGATATTCCTAAAATGAACATTGTTAACATTTCATTCTAACAACAAGCAATTCCTTGAGTGCTAATGATAAATAATAAAGCAGTCTAAATACATGAAAAGTAAAATAAAAAAATATTTCTGTTAACGTTGTTATTATCATTTCTTTTTATGTTTCAGTAAAAACGAAGCTGAGTGTGATTAAGAACATACACAGATATGTACATCTATGGTTTTATTTGACAGATTACATGAAGGTAAATATTGGGTAAATATGTATTTAATTTACCATAAGAAGAATGCTCACCTCCTTCAACACAATGAAAGCATACAAACATTCTCCTTTAACAGAGTGGGGATGAGATACAACAGCAGTTTCAGACACAGCTTTATGTTCAATTAGAGCTGATTCAACTTGGGCTGTAGACAGAAGGTGACCAGAAACATTCAACATGTCATCCACTCGTCCTGTCACCCAGTAATATCCATCTTCATCTCGTCTTGCTCCTTAGAAAAAATAGAAACAAAACATAAACTATTTACTAAATGAAAAACAATTGAAGTATGTGTTCTTAGAAGCATGTTTGGCATAATTGTCAAACAGAGGTAATTCAATATAGGTCAGAATTAAACTATCTACTATATGTACTTGTGCAGGGCCTCTGAAAATGTTCTGTTTCAAAAATAAGTAAAACCCAAATTAAGAGTAACAAATATATTTATTTTTTGTTTTTGAAGCTCATAATTCATGCTGTGTTGAAGCTTACAGTATGCATAATTCTTCTTGTGATTCATGGTGTGCACACATTTTACTGATGTCACCACAGTACAAATTGCAATATTATATTTTCATTATTGACATCATTTTATTATCTACTGAGTGACTAATAGACAACACACTACTGTATAGTGGTGTAAGTGGTTAAAACAGGTGACCCCTCCAGGTGGCCTTCAGCCCCCTTTCTGGGAAAATACCACATAAATATAGCTCTATAAGAGAACTTACCAGCTTAGTCAAAATCCCCCGAGATGAAAACAACTATTTTATGAAGTGAACTCTTAAATACCATATATTGAGAGAATATGAAGGATATATGCTCTAGAGCTTGAGATGTGCATATTTAGTTAAAACAGAGAGCAATAGTGGATATATATATATACACACACACACACATACATATATATCTTTTTTGAATTGCAGAAAATCCCATGGAATACTTTTAAGAGATTCAACCTTAGCTTAAGATTCAACTTATGAGCTATTGATACTTTTCAAGCAAGCTATTGATACTTTTCATAACATACTTCAGTACATGTGTTATACCATATGCAAATATATTAGAAAAGAACACTTCTGATATTTCAGTACCTGTGTTACACCACATGTGGACAGATTAGAAAAAAAAAAACACTGTTGATACTTCAGTGCATGTGTTACACCATGTGACTAAACAGATTAACAGAGAACACTGTTGATACTTCAGTGCACATGTTATATACATAAATTAACTTTGCATTCGTAGTCGTTAATCTGTAAACAAAACAAAAAACAATTGATACTAATTTTTAGAACACAATTATTATTACCTACTTAAATATTTTCAACCCTTCTTTGAACTGATGAAAATCAGTTTATCAAAAGAATTTTTTCTACAAAATAATCTGAAATTTTATACAAATGAAATATTATCAAATAATGTTTGTTTTTCATTATAACTATAACTCAAGTCTACTTGTAACATGAAATTTCCATTAATAATCATGTTTTATAAAGTTGCTGTAGCTTTCTATAGAAAAAGAAATACTGGGTAAATTTCAATATGTTCATGACTGAAATACAGATTTTTCTCACTGTAACATTTAATAAATGTGTAATGTTGTATAAAAGATAAGAATTGTTATATTTCAAAATAAATATCTTGGAATTAATTTCTAAGCAAGTTTTCAGTTCTTGTTCTTGAAATGTATGTTCGCAAGGCATATTTAAAGTTATTATTTACTTTTCATATGCACTCTGTTTAGAGTTTAATACCACAATGATGTAGAAGAAAATTATTCTCATTCTTTAATAAATGGAGCAAGGAGGTTTGATAATATACAACCTTGTTCTACAAAATGAAAAATTTAATTCAGAGCAAACACAGTTAAAGATAATAGAAAAAAAGAAACAGTGAATATGTATGGAATCAATTATTTCTTTGTTACTGTACACATATTTTGCACACATCTATCAGTTGTGAAAGTACTTCAGGAAAATAAAACCATAATGTGGTTATTACCTTTAAATTATTTTTTTTATAATCTTGTTTTGTTTTTCATGTAGAAAGCAATCTGCTTGTGTAAGATATATCAAACCTGTTTGAAATATATTTTTTATTAGCTAGTTCTATTAAATCAGTAAAGGCAGAATACTTTTAAATGTCAACTATATTACATTATAAATTGCTATCAATGTAATTAGTAATCAACATCTTTACTTTGTACACAAAAATGGTGATCATGTGAAAATACATGAAAATTAGTTGTAAACTATATTTAACTACACTGTTACTGAATATAACTAGATACTTTCCTAGTGTGTGTAAGTATTACATATAAAGTAGGTGTGTATCAGTGACTTACCATCACCAGTGCAATAGTAACCAATAAACTTTTCAAAGTATGTTGTTTCAAAACGTTCGTGACTTTTGTAAATTGTTCTCATCATACCTGGCCAGGGCTTCTTGAAAACCTACAAACCAGAAATAGGTCATATTCAAATACAATGTTAATATATCAGAAGGAGATCAGACAAAAATAGCTGTGTCTAGTTTCAGGTGTTTGACTGAAGTGCCATCTATATAAAACCTTGAATAATGATCATTTTCATTTGATGTTACCTAGCAGCGAGGTTGACATTGCAATATCCATCAGTATGCATTGTTGGTTATTAATTCATTTAGTTACATATCAATCAAGTAGTTCAAAAAACAAAAATCTTCCCTCTTGGAAATATTTGATGAGAAACCAGGATCTTGTTTTTATTTGGCCTTATATAAAAATACAGTATTAATATAGCAAGTTGTGTTAGCTTCAAATAGTATTAAATCAAATACAACATATATGTGTGATAAAATATCTAATGGTGTTAAATTCAAACAGAGACCAAATTCCATATAATGTTAAACTCAAATATTATGAAAGTGAACCAGATGCTTAAACAAAGTGACAAGAACTCAAACACAGTGACTATACATCAGACAATGTTAAATTCAAATAATGTGGCAATACACTATGAAAATTAGGTAAAATACAAACACAGTAACAACTAATGAATCAGATGGTGTTTAAACTTGAAAAGTGATAAGATACCATTTTATATTAAAACTAAGTAACAATACAATATATATATAGTATTAAATACAAACAATGCAGAATGAATCCAGGGAGGGTGGGTCCAATGACAATGAACTTCTAAATAGTTTTAATATTTTTTTTTTCTTTACGTTTTTGTTCTGAATTTTGTGCAAAGTTTTATAAGGGTTATCCACGTTAGCCTTCCCTAATTTAGTAGTGAAAGACTATAAAGAAGGCAACTAGTCATCACCACCAACATCAGCTCTTGGGCTACTCTTCTACCAATGAATAATGGGATTGACAATCACATTATAAAGACCCCAGGGTTAAAAGGATAAGCATGTTTGGTGGGATGGGATTCAAGCCTGCAACCCTCAGATTGCAAGTCAAGCTCCCTAACCACCTGGCTATGCCAGGCCATTTTTCATTAGGAGCAAAGTGACTCCCATCAAATAACACCTGAAATGTATCTACTTTGTTTTTACCTGAGAAAGAATGCTGCCTTATTCATTAAATAAATTCTACACAGAATTTTCATCAATAGTAAGGCCAGATTATACAACTTCTTCTTACACAGAAATTAAAATTCTTCACACAGCTCTAACAAGCATCCTCACATGAACTACATTTGCATGAATTATATAATTTAAAAGCAGATTTCACTACTTTTATAAAAGCTTAAAAAATGCACCATTCAAAAAATGTTAAGTTATAAGCAAAATCTTTCAAGCTAAGCCTGCTTAAAGTAAATGTCGAGTAGTATAAGCAATTAGATTACAATTTAACAAACATTCACTTTTCTCATCAGTGACAACATTTCATAGGCTTATGTAATTTAATGTTTTGTTAATTAAAAACAATAATAATAAAACTAAACGTCTTATATGAAAATAACAAACTAACTAGATAACCCTCTCCTGGTCCTTGAATTTCCTTCCCTTCATCATTTAGAAGTGCTGGAACAACACCAAAAAATGGGAATGTCTGAAAAACAAAGAGGTTTTCTCTTAATCTCAGAAAGTAATTACTTAATTTTTAAATTATATTTAATATTCAAATACCATTAATTATATATAAAAACAAATCTCTGTACAAAAAAGATTGAAGCCCATGACAAAAATTTAACTCAAAATGTACTTAATCAAGTTATTTATCATTCAGGGTAGAGTATTTTTAGAAATATATAAGTTTATAGAAAGAAAGGAATATGCAACAAACATTTTTTGAACATTTATTGATTTTGTATACTCATATAACAAAAAGACAAATTAAAAAAACATAACAAACTAAAATATGTACTTTTTTCCAACTTTTTCTTGACTTCTGTGAGATGCAGTTAAAAGGACACAAACAAAAAAATAATTAAAACAGAAAACTGAGTATATATTTAGGAAGTTCAAAAAGTTTCTTAAAGATAAAAACATATTGTGGAGACAGTTGTGGTGTAATATGAGGACACGTTTAATACTGTTGTAGGTCCCACACTTAAGTAATCAAACTTTCAAAAATTTTGACTAGCTGGGAAGCTTGGTCTTCAGACAGACTGTGAAAACAATGTTGGTGCAATCTGAAGACATGTTAAATATTACTATAGGTCCTACATTTAAGTAAAAACACTTCCTAAAATTCATTATAAACATACAAAAGATTAACATATAATTATTTTAAATGTACATTTGTTAATAATGATTTTGGATCTTCCACCTACTTTTAATGAATCCCAGGACTTTCCTCGTGGTGAATAAATACATACATAAGGCTTAATGTCTTTCCACCAGATTTGCATGGATTTTGGAAAACAATTTCTAGGAATATCTAGAACTAAAATTGTCTACCATTAGGGCTGGCAAGGTGAAGCCCCCCCATGAAATGCTGCTGCCCCCCCACCCCCAAAGCTAATGCTGATGCTGCCTATTCATCTAATGTTTGAGTTATTTTGGATTTGTATCCATTACATGTTTCATTGCCCACACCCCCAGTTAACAAAAGCAGGAGATGGGACTGTCTATTGTGGATTGTAATGAATAAGAAAGTCTAGGCTGGTCTACTAATAATTTCAGATATAGCATCTAAATATAACCACAAAAATATGTATTGTTTCCTTTAGAGTCAGGTTTTGAAAGAAGTTTCAGGTTGTATAAGACAAGTTTATGACACAAAAGTACTCACAGCAGATCCTGGCTTTGTTGGGGTGCAACCTGGCAATGGAGTAAGTACGTGTCCTCCCTGAAAGAGTGAAATTATTATACATCAGTTAATTTAACTATTTATGTACATCATTTGCTGGCAATGATCTAAATCAATATTAAAAACACTCACAATACAAATACGATGGCACCACATGATGGAATAACTTATAATGGCCAATAGTGACTAGTAAATCATTCAGGCTTTGAAAATGAACAGTTTATTTTGTGGAGAAATCTGTTTTTTTTTCCTCTAAAGCACTGATTTAAAGGTTACAGGATGGCAAACACAGAGGAGTGGATAAGCTAAACTATATTTCATAGCAATTAAAATTTTTGACATGTGTATGTACAGTAACAAACATTTAATTCTTGAACGTTTCTAAATATACATATTCCATCTTCAGCAAGCTATGTTGAACATGGTAAATTATTAGGTACAAAATTTTATAAACATTTTATAAAAAATAATTAAAATACAGAATAAAAGGAAAAAGTAAATTAAAAGACAATCAATTAAACAATAAAGAATAGGATAATGCAACAATAACAACATTATACAAGTATTCAGAACAGACTTAACTCTAGTGAAGCTGTGTTATTATTTAAAGTTGGAAGTTCATTTATAATAGATAAACTTTCTTTAATTAAAAGTTCAATATTGGATAATACAAGAATTAAATGTTTGTTACTGTAATAACACGTGTCAAATGTTTGTTGCTGTTGTCGTCATTCTAAATTCAAATTTTATTTTGTAAAATTGTTGCCAAATTTGATGAAACTATGAAGTAACATACAAATGGATGCCATATGTTAATGGTCAAGGTTAGTATGTAACCAAGGTGAGTATCATGAACTTGGGTGACCTTCCTTGAGAAGAATGTTGGATAAGATCATGAAAACATATATCATAAGGAATAGTTTCGTTTATTTATACTCTATTGATATAAGGAATTTCAATGGACCATCTAATAAAGTAAGATGGGTAGCCTGCAATAATACACCAGCAAAGAGTGTTTAGTTAAAAATCAAGAAAGGGTTGAAGATGACTTATGATGAACTAAATTTGATAAAATAGTAAACAATTTCAATATCTCATGAGCTTCACTGTAAAGCTTGACCACAGAGATGTACAAAGAAGAAGCTTGTGTTCTGCAACTTGAAGTGTATAGTGAATCTGCCTTAAGATAAATTTAATGGCTGGGACAGGGTATTGTAACCTCACATTTTCCTGACAAAGTATGAAGTTCATCCTGTTTCTTAACATTTACTTAATAAAATAAAAGGATAAATATTATATTTCTTTCAGTTGACGTTCATGTTTGGATCATAACTGATTCTTAATAATATTTAGATATACTAATCAATAAGCTAATGTTGGAAAAACAAACTCACAGTCTCAGTCTGCCAAAAAGTATCTACAATGGAGCATTGTTCGTTTCCCACAATCTTGTGGTACCAAAGCCAAGCTTCTGGATTTATAGGTTCTCCAACACTTCCCAGAATTTTCAAAGATGAACGGTCATATCTGTTTTAATACAAAAAGATTGGTAAAATAAAGACCATATGAAGAATGTTTACAGTGTATTTTATTACAAGATACAGCTTTTACTAAAATATACTTAATCAGTAAGTAAACTCAAAATGAAATGTTTACAGTGGTTTGTTGTAAAAACTTACCAGTATACCAGTATGCATATATATATATGATGATGAAAGGAGGGTGAAGGTTGGTGTTCCTGGAGAATAACACCAGTGACCTCAGGTGAAACATACTCATGCTATAATTGAAGATACATTAAAACAAAACATATTTTTGAGTGAAACAAAAGTGGTGTGGGTAGTGCGTTATCCAGTAGTATGACATGTTTTTGTTTGCTAGTATGTCATAGTACCTCTCTTTAACCACTGCATATAAACCCATATCAAGAGAACTACAGTTTTGAGCAGTACCAGATTTGATCAGCTCTGGTTTGGTGGTTAGGATACTTAATCTGCAATCTATGGGTCACAGAAGTGAACTCCATCATGTAATATGTTCACCCTTTCAACAGTGGAAGTATTATAATGTGAGAATCAATCCCACTATTTGTTGGTAAAGAGTAGCCCAAAAGTTGGTGGTAGGTGGTGTTGACTAGTTCTTTTCCTTCTAGAATATCACTTCTTAATTAGGTATGACTAGCACAGAAAATCTTCCAGCAGTTTGCACAAAATTCCCCAAAACAAACACAATCGTCAGCTCAGATAAGTAAATGATACAGACTGTCACCAATGGTGGAAAAATGTATTGTTAACAAGAAACTGATAATACCACTTGAAATTATATTCTAAGAATTGCTTGGTTATTTCTAACTTTTTAATTCCTATGATGTATATTAATTAAAGTTACTTTTGAAAGCATTAAATATGAGTCAAATTCCTGTTAACTGAAAAGTATTACTAATCATTGATACATATAAGTTTTAGTGATAGTTGATATAATTTCACTGAATACATTACATATATTTTCACTTCAGTTTTTTGGCTACGTCATTTATGTCCCTTTTTCTGGGACATCCTGTGTATTAGTTAATAAGCTAGTACTATTATAAATGTAAAATCATGTTCAAAATTTGCACTTTAAATCAGAACAGATTTTAACCTTTGAAGTACATATATATATTCAGCTTTAATTTTTCTACTACTTCATTTCCACTAAATCAGTCAATTTGTACCTCAAGGATAAGCACACAGTTTTTCATAAGGTAAACAATACTATTTAGGATCCAGTAACCAATAACTGTTATTATCTTTACTGGTTCTGCAGCTCAGTAAAAAAATCCACTTGACCACCAGTCTTGAGATTAAAAAAAAAAGAAATGACCTTGTGCATAATGTACCAAATTACAAGATGTAATGCATTACAATGTCTATTTTTCAGTAAATTAGAAAGGAAGATTCTTTAGGAAAATTCAAGAGGATTGACATACGGAATAGTATGTGCACATGTAGGTTGATTATGTGAGACACAAGAGTTTCATGCATTTAAGAGTTCAATACACTGTTATTATTCAAATTCGTTTTAATATCTTTTATGCTGCAAAGTGGAATTTGTTTATTTAACTTCATGCAAAGATACTTGAGGGCTATTTGCACTGGCTGTCCCTAACTGCCAATTATCAACTCTTGGGCTTTTCTAATTGAACAGTGGGATGGAATAGTTGTGATGGAATTCAAGCCCGTGCATGACCTGCACATTGTGAGTTGAGCACTCTAATGACCAGGCCATGTTAGGCCTGGAATGTGAGAATGTGCTGGAATTAAATTGAAAACAAAATTTCTAAGGGTTTATATCTTTGGTGAGAAAATTAAATTTATTAAATTTTTAACTTATGCCAGCCTATCAGCTGTTCTGAGACCAAGGAAAATTCAGTTTCTTTCTGGAAGGTGATTATTACAGCATTAGACAAAGACACAAAGCAACTGATAATAAAAGGAGGGAACAAGTTTCTTTAAAGAAGTGTTAAAAAGACCTTATCTTCAGATGCCTAATAAAGAAGAAGAGAAAATATTGAAATATAGCATTAAAATTCTAGTAGAGCTCCATGTAAAGAGGATCATAGAGGCAAATTAATAAGACCTCAGTTGTGTGAAAAAAAAACCAATTAAAACCCAGTAATGTATAAAAGTTTCAAAATACACTTCTGCTGCAGAGAGAGGAAGAGGAGGACTATATTAGTTAATATCTAGATTACAACAATGGACAATAAAAAGCCATAAACAGATCAAAAGCAACCCACTAACTGAGATTACACTTTAGAATTCATAAAGAGCCATAATTAGATAAAGGCAAACAAGTAACATTAATTTTTCTCTGTTTATCATGTTTTTTGTATTCTTGCCATGAAAATAGTTTTCAACTTAATTTGACATTTTATCTTACTCATGATTTATCCACAAGTACACATATGACTAACAAGTGCTTTTCCTTCATACAGCTCTTGCTACTTGATGATTTTCTGACATCGATGATGACACTTTCATGATAAAAATGCTAGTGCTTTTAACACCCGCCACACAAACCAGTCCAACATCTTTTAGTACTGAGCCTAGGATTGTCAACAGAGAGGGTGTCATTCTGGAAACCAGTAATTTAGGGTTATTTTGATAGATCTCAGTGAATGAAGCTCAGCACAACTTCTTCAATGAAAAAAAAAAAACAACTAAATATTAATGAAAATATGACATAGCGAAATCTATAAGGATTATACTATGGTGATACCATACTGGGCATTATACCATCTTTCTTATATTTACTCTTCATTACAGAAATAGCATTTTTAATTTGAGAATTGCTAAGGAAATCATCTTGTAATGCATTGTGAATCTGCTTCAATTTCCACACTGCATCTTCGAGCTTTACTGTGCCGTTAGTTTCACAAAATATTGAAACTAATGATTTCTTATATATGATTCCAAATTCTCTTTTATAAATTAATGATATTATTGTGTACGTTATTTTATGTTTTGCTGTCAAAGCAGTAATCAATTGATGAATCTTCAATTCAGCTGATATATCCAATCGATTGGGATATCTTTGAATAAGTTTTTCTCTCATCCGACCTGGACTCACGGTTTAGCTTAATTGCTACACTTAAACCATCACATTCCCAGCCACATCTAGAACATTTCAAGTGTGTTTCATAGCTACACTGCTTTACTTTACATTTACAAGTTATAACTTCTTGATGTTGGCTCATATGGTCTTGGGTAAGGTCACAGGTCTGGTCCAGTGACCTAGACCTAAAAAATAGTGCCAAATATCTTCTCTTTATCTAATTAAAATAGCCCAAACTTTTCCAGAATGACTCATTTTTGTTTTATCCACATTAAGCTTACAGGCTGGCTTGTGTGACAGGTGTTAATATATTGTTACATATACCTTCCCAAAATCACAGTATTTACTGAACTATCTAAAATATTACTGTAAGCAGAACAAAATAAAAGGAGTATGTCATATGCTAGTTTTTGCATCATTGATTAGCTATAAATGTGATAAACAAAAGAAATAGAAAACTAAATTTCTAACATCATTAGCCCAAGGCTGAAATAGAAGTAACTTTAGCTACAAATGTGATAAACAAAAGAAATATAAAACTAGATTTTTAACATTATTGGCCTAAGGCTAAAATAGAAATAACTTTAGCTACAAATGTGATAAAAAAAAGAAATATAAAACTAAATTTTTAACATTATTGGCCTAAGGCTAAAATAGAAGTAACTTTAGCTACAAATGTGATAAACAAAAGAAATATAAAACTAAATTTTTAACATTATTGGCCTAAGGCTAAAATAGAAGTAACTTTAGCTACACATGTGATAAACAAAAGAAATATAAAACTAGATTTTTACCGATATTGGCCTAAGGCTAAAATAGAACTAACTTTAGCTATAAATGTGATAAACAAAAGAAATATAAAACTAAATTTTTAACGTTATTGGCCTAAGGCTAAAATAGAAGTAACTTTAGCTACAAACGTGATAAACAAAAGAAATATAAAACTAAATTTCTAACATTATTGGCCTGAGGCTAAAATAGAACTAACTTTAGACCATATTTTGAAGGTATTATTCAAAAAGTATAGAACAAAACTAACTATTCATAAAATTTAAATAATCACACAAATATGAACATACTTTGTTACATGGCTGTCTCCATATTTCATCAAGGCACGTACTGCAGTAGGTGCAGTGTAAAACTTCGTGACTCTGTATTTGTCAATGATCTCCCAGTAACGGCCAGGATGAGGATGAAATGGTAAACCCTCAAACTAATAAACATTTCAATTGAGACAGTATTTAATCATTATCTGTTTAATCTATATTCCAACAAACGAAATTCAATTATATTTTTTGTTTTCATTATCAACAACTTCTGATCAAGCAAGCTACACAGATCAGAAATAAAAACTAAACCAGTAAATAATTTAGCTAATTTACTATACTTGTCTACCTAAGATAACACAAAACAAAAATTGATAATGATTAGAATACTCTAGTTGGTTTATCAGTTAATTGGGTACCTTCACAAAAGTAAGTAGATCTATGGAGTTGGCAAGATGTCAAAAATGACAGCAGCTCAATCTTGTCATATCTGCTGCCATAATTGTCACCTCAAAAAGCGGCATTTGAGTTGTTTGCTGTAGTGCAGCCCACTAAAGTTAACATGAATGTAGCACTTATATGTGCTCATCACTGTGAGCTAATTTGCAAATGTTAATTTTGAACACAATTAGAAAACAGACTCTATCAAACTAAAGTTTTAGATAACAATACAACTGATGTAGCATTGGTTGCACAATTAGAAGTGAGAAGATCCTTGGAGTGACCTTCAAAAGTCAAAATTGTTATACATTCCATTTATATCAATAATCTTCTATCCTAATGAAGCAACATCTACTTCCAGGCCTAAACTTATTTCAAGTTACTACTACCTTTGCTTATGTGGGATTTATCATCAAATTAAGGGCTTAAGATAAACATGTTTAATTTCTCAATTTTTTTTAAATTGTAAATGTATGGGTGATGTTAAATTTTATAACATCCCTGGTTTATCTTAAAAGGTTACTTAAGGAAGAAACATCAAAGATAGGCATACATTACAGCCATCAGAAGCAAAGATTGGCAGCTGACTGTTAATAGCTTTTTGTTCCAACCAAAGTTTATTGATGATTATACAGGCAGAATTTCTTTATCCTGTGTACCAGAGGAGGCAGTAAGAGGCTTGCTGGGGCTGAAGTTACTCCAAAATGTGCCTTAGCCTCCCCTGTAGCTTCTTGCACCAATTAAAAGTTCAAAAGTTTTTTTTAATTGAATGATGTGTGACAAATGTTTAAGTGTTAACTGCTAAAGGTGGTTTGCTTCTTAAGTACTACAATATGTGTTTCCACAACATGTAGGTTGCAGGCAATTCAATTTTTTTTGTTCATCTCTCTCACCAGGAACAGATTAGCACCATCCTTGTACATACACTTAAATGATAAGGCTGTGCCCACTATATTTCCAGCCTTTACATCATAATTACTAAAATTAAATTAAACTAAAAACTTATCAACATATCTTTTGCTATTTGTCTGCAATTTAAATAATGTTCAGTTTCACACATTAAATATTGGTATTAAAAAAAACATTTTTAATTTCTTACAGTATATCATATTTGGTAAAACACTCATTTCAGATTGTGTATAATGAAAATAGATGTGCTATATATATATATATATTCTTAACTGAAAAACAGCAGTTACTCAAAATGTCACATTGAAAATAATGTTTTCCTGTGGTGAATTTAAAACTTTTCAGTTTGTTTGGTTTATTGTATATACTGTTAACATGAATGTAGCACTTATATGTGCTCATCACTGTGGGTTAATTTGCAAATGATAATTTTGAACACAACTGTGTAATAATTGTAACCATGACAAAAATCATGATATAACTGATTAATACCAATAATAAAAATTTGAAATATCATTTTCTACAGAATACTAAAATGCAAAAATCTACATATAAAAGCATGAATGTGTGTGTGTGTGTGTCACTCTTTTTGTGGGTTTATTCCTTATGCACAGCCACATCTTTAAAGCTACAAACTCATGGTACAGATACAACTTTTTGTGGGATGTAACATTGAGGCCAAAGTGACAAATATGTCAATTTTTGGTAAACAGGATGATCAGTTGGTCTCAAGTTGAAAAGGTCAGATTTTTTTAGTAATGTGTGATTAAGAGGGCTGTTATTTAGATTTTTTATCTGTGTGAGGACTTCTGCTAATCATTGTATCCATGATCAGTTATGTGTTAAAACAATTTAAAAACTTCATGGAGCCTTCGTTTGCTTCTCTGCTTGTTCTCTCTTTGCTCTCTCCCTCTCTCTTTCTTCTACACATACATACCTAACCCTTGAACTGTAAAAGGCTGGTGCTTTCTCTCGAACATGCACACATACTCCCTTAGCTAAATAGGCTTGCTTCAGCAATATCTTTTGCTTTGCTTGCGTGTACTCGCAAGAATCAGCTATACGAGAACTTTACAAAAACATTTGGTATCAGCAAATTTTCATTTACATTGTGTTGCAATGAGAAGAGAATAAATCAATTCTTCATTAAATGAAACGTTGATAAAGTCTGAATATGCTGCAAATGACACTTGATCACACAGCAGAAGTCAGGACACCAAAAGGTAGGGAATTTTGTTTTGGAAATTTGAAATGTCATGCAAAACACATGCAAGAAGCAGAGGCAATGACCCAGTTTTGCTTTGATTAAAATAGCTTTAGCAAACTTATATATTTTTTGCACATTGTTCTTTTATTGAATTTAATCAAAATATTTTTTAGGTAAAAAATAATTTTGATTTTTTTTTGCAAAAAATCAAGATTAATATGGTTTATTTAATCGAAACAACTCAGGATATTTAAAGCCATTTTCATTCAAGCAATGCTGGATACTCTGCTAGTGTCCAATAATTCATTAATTGGACACCTGACTGAACATGAAGGCCAAGTTGAAATTATTGTGAATGAACCATAACCAGTCACCAGCTCAGCTTTTGAGACCAGTGAACTTTGTTGAATAAATCAAGGAAAATTCAGTTGAAATGAAAACTTGAAAATATAACTCAGCTATATCAGTCAAGAAAGAAAAATCCTATAACAAGCTCAACAAAAATTGTAGATTAACAACTTTATAAGCACAAATTAAATAATGAAGAACAAACACACACTGAAGATAATTACCACAACTGGTTTCGATGTACCATATACATCATTTTCATGGGTATACTGTGTGTGTGTGTACAGTGATGTCTAGCAAGTGTTGTTTTCATTGTGTGATTTCTTCTTACATGTTCCATTGAAAAATGTTTTCCATAATGGATCCATTTGAAAGCCCATATCATGGTTTATGAATTTGTTTGCATTCTTGTGTATTTCAATAGCTTCTCTAATATTTGGAGAAAAAATTTAGGTTCTGCAATTAGTTTCATTTTAGTGAATTTGATTATGTGGTCAATTTGGTATACATGAGTACCAATGGCTGATTTTTATATTTCCAACCAGCAGCAATGATTTTCATGTTCTTTTATTCTTACATTCAACAACTGTTTAGTTAAGACCTATGCATACTTTGTTCCCTGAGCATTGGATTGAATATATTCCTTGTTTCTGGAAACTATTGATGGGGTCTTTCCCCTTATTTAGTTTACTTCAAATTTTTACAATAAGTTTGTAGGTTGATTTCATTTGGTTGTTCTTCAATAATGTACCTATTATATTTTAGATTTCCAGGTAATAAGTTAAACATATAGATTTTGTTTTTTCCACATTATTTCCTTAACTTTGTTTATAAAAATATTTTTTGATTTTGTAGAACAACCTATCAAATCCTTGTGATACAGCAACATTTTTTAAGCTAAACAAAATCTTGTTCAAAGAAATGTAGTGTTAAAAAATATCACATCAGAGCTAAAATTAACTTATTAAAAAAAGCATTTTGCTGTCCTAGAGAAAATTCCAGGACCTAATAAAGAATTTCTAAAGAGGTAAATTACAAAATTAAATGGATTATTATTGCTAGTAACATATTCACCATAACTTAGATTATCTGCTCTAACACTTCACTTTTATCCACCAAAACCATTTAACTCTGCAAAAAAAACATTTAATACATGTTCACAACATCCATTCACAATCATTAAGGGGTATCAAAGTGTTGATGGGACACCAGGCTTTAAAAATGAATATTTTAATGATAGAAAAACTAAAGTTTCTGGTGGTCATGCAGCCAGCTATTTCAGTTTGTTCAGAGATGAAATTGCAGTAAAAAAACACATTGAATAGGATGGTACCAGATATCATGGATATGTATACAAGGAAGTGCTGACAACAATGCCAGTGTACGTGTGTTAATAGAATTTGAAAACTAACCACTGGATGTTTTCTAGTTTATAATGTTTGTCGCATTCAATAAGCTAACCTTGTAAAATGCTGTTTATCCTTAAGACCAAAAACTGGTGCTCAAATTGTTTCCTTTAAAATTTACAGTGCAGCACCAAACTATCTATTAAAACCTCTTAATACATCACTTAAACATCCTGTCACTGATAAATCAGTTGTTTTTTTTTAGTTATATATTGAAAACATTGGGAGACATGAAGTATTTGATAGTTGGTAAAAATGAATTAATTTCTTGAACATATGTAGAAAATCTTCACCAGTTGCAAATAGAGGAAGGTATTCATTTAGGCAATAAACTCCGTTTAGTTCATGTGGGTTGGCATTAGCAGAAAATGAAAGTTTCTCTTGGGGCACGATTAATGAGCAATTCATTTGCTGATGTAGTTGAGAAGTTTTGTAATTTAGGAATTAGGCAATTTACTGATGTAGTTGAGAAGTTTTGTAATTTAGGAAATAGGCAATTTACTGATGTAGTTGAGAAGTTTTGTAATTTAGAAATTAAGCAATTTAAAAAATTTCAAATGAGATTCATTTGAAACAGAACATTAGAGATTTTGAACTCTTGAAACATCTGTTAATGATTTTAGAAAAAAACTGTATCCTGGTTCCAAAACATTTGTTATGGACAAATAAATGCAATTTTTTCTCCCCAAAGAACACGTCCATACAATGAGATTTTGTTATGATAACATACAGAAAAACTGGTTTTCTTGGATTTAAGATTTTATAGCTATAATTATCTACTTATAGCTTCTCCATCAGTTCCATTTTTGAGGTATTTACCAATGTACAAAGTAAGTCAAGATTATATTGAATTGTTTTTAATTCCATAAGCTCACATGGTGGGTGCAATAGTAATCCAACCGATAGGCAGTTCCTATCGGCATACAAGCATTTACTTGTTCACAGTTACTTGCAAAGCACTTCTGCTGGCAACTGTATCCTACTGAAGAGATAACAATTTTACAGATATCTAGTTCAAACCATGCTCATCTTTAAATCATTAACTCGTCAGAGTACAAGAACTAAATGTTAGTTCTTAGTCTTGATGGCTCTTCACCATTTTCTAACCATGAATATTTGTCCTGAACGCATTATTGTGTATATTACTGGTTTTGTGGTGCTCAAGTTGAAAATAATGTATTGAAGTGTGAAACATTTTATTACACTGAGGGGAACAGGCACACGATCACTTTATTTATTTTTTATTAAACACAAAAACAAGGGTGGGTTAACTTTTCTGTCTCTAAATGTCATATCAATTTGTGAATAAAGTGAGAATGATTTTCATGTTGCTATTGCCAGTAAAATCAGTATAATATATAGGTTTTAATATACGCAGTTCTAAAACATTATGTCATTATGTAGAAGGAACATGTGTTTGATCAAACATCTCAAAATAATAATATTGTACAGCTGATTTGAGCTGTCTCTCATATACACCTTAATATTAGGTTTTGTCATGCTGACAAAAGATTTACAGGAGGCATCCATAAAAACAAGATTAGATATGTTTATAACAAGCTTGCTCTATCTAAAGGACTATAGTTAATTTAAGCTTCAGTTGTCTGATTCTCAAAGGTAGCTTACAACAGAGATAAGATCAGAATAACATTTCATAACAGTATCCAGAGCATATTATAACTTATGCACATAAACCTATTCATTTCAATTCATGCTTGTATATATATATATATTTATCCAAAAAATATGCAACAGATTTAAAGTACATTGTGTAGCAATATTTAATTGTTTTATATGTTTATTTATTTCTACTAATTCATAGTTTCAAAATCACAATGTGTACCAGTGATTAGTAATTTTGAGTTTTGTCTATGGCACTTTATAACTAATTTTTCATTTATTACTGAAAAAAAAAATTGGATGTGGATGTTTCAATTTGTTATTTGTAAGAGGAAAGTCCCACATATAAATTTATATTTTTGTTCTACTGTTGTGATATTCAGATTATCTAACATTATTGCCAATAATTCTGAGTTTTTACTTCTATGTACTTAAAATGTACTTCTGTGTTTTTAAAACAGCAATAACTTTAATATCTTAATGCTAAAACTGTTTAACATCCAATACATTACTTTCTTCATAAACCAATTCAATTGGATAGTATCTGTAAAGTTTAGAAATTATTCCTTTTGAACAATGTTATATTTATATGTATGTGACAATAAAATTATTTTGAAAACTTTCTTGTAAATCATATCATTTTCAAATTACATTTACTTCTGAGTAACATATTTCATTCAGTTCAGAATCAATTACAATAAAACATTGTGTGTTTGGAGCTAACAAAGATGCTGGCATATGGCTGACTCCATCTCTTTGTTTCTTTAGTCCATACTGTAAGAGTAAATTGATACCAACTCTCTTTCTTCTTACCTCCATGGTTACACCAATAATATCTCAATATTGACTGACCAGTTAGGAGATTTAAGTTTGTCCTAAATTCACATACTGAGCTAACAATGCAAAATAATCACTATATAAGGCTATATTATGTATATAAACAATTAACCAACATACTTTTAATATTAAAGAAAATGTAATATAGCTCATAAGACACATCAACACTAGTTGTTTGCTTAATGCACTAACATAAAAAGAATAAATTGTTTTTGTATAAACTTCAATACATAGAAAAGCAATTAAATAAAATCCTTGAAAAAAGAAAATCTTCCATCAGTTGGATTGAATGATAAATGCAATTATACGGCTTTACAGTCAGTAAATACAAGTTGAGCGTTTCACAATCCTTGTGCACATTTTTTGTCATCATCTTTCAAATCGGCTGATATCTCTTTGTGGACCAGCAGCTGAGAACCACTGTTCCAGGGTAATTGCTCTACTAATGTATTATACAGTACAGAATGCTCGTTGATTACTTACAACTGTAATGCATATAAAGTGATAATTATGTGATTTTACCTCTTCTCCAAATTCTGGCATCCAAGAATTGAACCTCAGTCTTGCACATACAAGTCTTTCGCTACTTGGATGGCCAAGGAAAATATTGTTCATTTAAGGCATTATGGAAAATATCTTGAGATCCTCCCTTGCAGTTAGAGGTCACTGATGTGCTTAATAAGTATCAGTTTGTTTGTACCCATGCATCTGAAGATTTTTTTTTTTGTTTAAGAAATGCAGATGGTAAAAAAAAATTATTTTTACAAACAGATTTCAGATAACATTTTTGAGGAATTTTTAATACTTTTCATTTTAAACAGAACTATATTGAATACTTTATGAAAAATCATGTTTCAACAAAACTGTATTTATACAAAGATGAACAATTCACAAGCTAATACTGATGTTCAAAGAGAAAGAAACATTACGCTTTCAACTTGAGAAGAAGTAAAGCCAACTTAATTCACTGAACAATAGTTTTATTAATATTACCATCAATGAAATAATTATAAACTGCTCACCCCATATTTTATGGATTGATGTCCCTAAGAAACATATTGTAATAGTACCACTATATACAGGGTAATAGTCTCACTACAGTGCCACATTAAGGCACTGGTGGGCCCTGGGCAATGTATACACTAGACAAGTAGGCCTCTTTTGCTTTTAAGAAAATACCATACAATTTGATAAATTAAATTCATTAATGATAAAAAAATTAAGTAAATAAAATATTGAAAAATGTTCTCTAAAAAACTGGTTTAATTTTTTAGATTATTTTAAAATTAAATAAATCAAGGATGGTCCTCCCACTCCCACCTATGACCACATTGTGATCTCTGTCTCTCGTATGCAGTGGACAACCACCTGGTGTTGGATCCTATATGTTCTTTTGGAATAACAATTTTAAATTGCAATGAATTTCTTATTGTAAAAAGTAGGTTCTCTTCTGGTTGCAAGCTTGCTCAAATCAGATGTGCATTTAAACACACTTCTTAACATAGTGAGACAGAACCATTTTATACAATGGGCAAAAGGGGTTACTAGTGCAAAAGACCATACCCCAAATAACTTTGGAATAAATCCACTTTTGTTCAGTATGTTTTGACAAAAAGCAATGTTACCATTAAGGTGAATAATTTCATTATAGTTAGTGGAGTTGAGAATAAGCAGCAAACAAGAATTTATATAAGCAAAGATTGTAAATCTGAAGCTAGTTTTGAACCAGAAGAGTTTCATTTTTTTCTTCTTCTTCTCAAATTCTAAGCTTGTTCTATTTTTATTCTTGAATAATGTAGTTTGGGAACAAATGAGGTGGATATAAACTTTATTCAAGAGGACATTCATAAGACCAATTTGATGAACTTTTCTGTCTCAGAAAATCTTGCTAAAGAAAGCTCTAACCAGTAATGTGTTGTAGTATAACTGTTCAACCTGTAAGGTTTTTAGTTATAGTGGTTTTAGTCACACAGTATTTTTTTCTTGATAGCTTATGACATGTTGATAAAAAATTCTTTTAAGGAAAAGATTCTCTGGGCAGCACTCCCAAACTAATATTATGTGAAATCCTTTTGGAATTGAAAGTATGGCTAAAATATGAAACTCTTATGGTATGTTCTCAATCAGAAACAAATAAGCTATATATTCAAGATATTAAAATCAGCATACTGGCAGAACTTGGATGCAGTGACACTGAATATCTGTTGAATAATTTTATAGTTGGATTGGAAATACAATTGCAAAATAAGCAACAAGCAGTTTTAATAGTTGGTAATTTTGGATTAATATTCATTACACTAACCTTGGATTGTAAACTTATTTACAAGTTCCTTGTATAAAAAAAAAGAGAGATTAAGATGTTGTAGATAATCAAAGTAAAAAACAAATGAATTACTCATGAAATATCAACAAAATGGAAATGTGAAAAAACTATTGAAAAAAAACGCTTAGTTCTTCATGGTTATGAAGCTTCCTGTAACTTGATACACAGTTTGTACTCACCATTACGCTAGTGGCTCCCTGTGCAAGAGGTCCATACACCACATAAGTGTGACCAGTAATCCACCCAACATCAGCAGTGCAAAAATAAATATCTCCAGGATGATAATCAAAAACATACTTGAAAGTGGTAGCAGCATACAGAAGATACCCACCAGTAGTATGAACCACACCTTTGGGCTTGCCAGTTGACCCACTAAAATGAATGTGACAAAGCAATACTACACCAGAAATGGAAGGCCAAATATGTTGCTATATATCTTGAACTATATGACTACGTAAAAGCCAATGACCATTCATTTCTTCATAATATACAATTTAAGCAGACACTTCACTGGGCCAATTTAAACTCTATGACTGTAAGTCTGCTGGCTCTTAGTAACAGAGTGCTCAGTAGAACAGTCATTGTTCTTTAATGGCTTAATGATGTTCATCGTTATAACATTTGTAATTCAAGACTAATGACTAAATGAATAAATAAAGTTCAGCCTATGCAAGCTGATGGAGATACAACATAGTAAATGTAATGATCATTACCAATAATGTTAGAGGATGGTCAATCGAAAAATGAAAGCATTAGATAGACAAAAAAATATTTATGCATAATAGCACAAACATAAAAAATATACAGTAGCTTTAAGGAATAGTTTTTAATCAGTACTTTTGTGTATTGTATGATAACAATGTTTGACAGACTATAAACTCTATTCTTCTCAAAGCCCAAATGTGTTTATACTTTCCATTCTAATAATGTAGAGATTTATCAAACTACATTTACTACATAATAGTCACAGGCAGTTAAAACAGTCAAAAAATTAAGTAAATGAGTCACAATGTTTAAAAAAATCCAATTACTTATTTTAATTTGAATAAGATTTTACAAGATTAAGTGTTCATTGTTAATTTCTTTTCAAATATTCATAATATGAGGTCAACAAAAATTACTTAAGAAACTTAAGTATTTAACTAAGAACCTGAAAATCTTACAAAACAGTTTTCACAGGTTTGTTCTTAGACTGGACACAGTCAAATGTTAAGACAGCTAAGACAAACAATATCTTACAATGTTTTAAAAACTGGACCTGTTGATATGAGCTCATCAACAATGATGAGAACATTTTGGATTAAACATGGTACTCAAATGTTCAACAAGATTGTGGTACTGAATAAACCCACCTGGTGTACAAAATAAACAGTGGATTTTCAGCATCTACCCACTCAGGTTCACAGATATCATTTGCTCTGTTCATCTCTTCATGCCACCAGCAGTCAATGTCAGGGTTCCATGGTGTCTAGATGAAACAATCAGATTAGCTGTATTTACTTGTAAAAGATAGTACTAAAATATATCGTAAGTACTTTGTCACAGTTTAGTCAGTAATTATAGACCCATCTTACATCAGTTATTGAAAAAGTCTTGGAAAGTCTGTTAAAAGATGCTTTGCAAAGTCATTTAAAAAAGTATCGAATTTTATTGCATAGTCAACATGGTTTTACTAAGGGAAAATATTTCCTTACAAATCTTTTGATATTCTTTTAAGAGGTTACTGCTTATGTAGATGAGGGTAAGGGTGTAGATTTGGTGTATCTGGATTTTCATAAAAAATTTGACAAGATGCCACATAAAAGGCTTGTAAAAAATTATTTCTATAGGTGTAGGGGGATAAGTTAGCAAATTGGCTAAAAGAGTGGCTGGATGGAAGAAGGCAGAGGGTTGTTACAAATGGAGTTCAGTCAAATTGGATTAATGTCACAAGTGGGGTACCTGAGGGCTCAGTCTTAGGACCTTTGCTCTTTTTGAATTACATCAATGACATAGATGAAGGAATAGTCAATAAATTACTTAAATTTACAGATGATATTAAGGTCTTGGGTGTTGCTAGCTGGGAAGATGATGCTGCTGATTTACAAAAGGATTTAGATCATTTAGTGAATAGGGCAAATAAATGGCAGATGGGCTTTAATTATAATAAATGCAAGATAATGCATGTGGGTTACCATAATTTGAATTATAAGTATAATTAGGATGGGAATAACCTTAACAGTGTTATGAAAGAAAGGGATCTTGGTGTGATATTGCTAGTGGTAGGGCAAATAGGATTTTAGGTTGTATCTACTGAAATATTGAATAGAAGTCTAAAGATGTTATAATTTCATTGTATAAGTCACTGGTTAGGCCACATTTGGAATATTGTGTTCAGTATTGGGCTCCTTACCTTAGGAAAGATATTGAATTGTTGGAAAGACTTCAGAGAAGGGTTACTAGAATGGTGCCTGAGATGGAGGGGTTGTCATGTGAGGAGAGGCTGAAATCTCTCAAACTGTTTTCTCATGAAAAAAGAAGAGTTATGGGACGATCTGATTGAGGTGTTTAAGATTGTAAAGGGAAATGATAGTGTTGATGCATCATCTTTTTCATATTTAACAGTGAGAATAGTAGGACTAGGGGACACAAACATAAATTTTGGCAAGGTAGAGGTCATCTTCAGCTAAGACAGTTTTATTTTTCTGACAAGGTGGTTGACCTTTGGAATGGGTTGCCTTTAGATGTTGTAGAGGTAGTAAATTTAAGTGAGTTTAAGAAAAAGCTTGTTAAGTATGTGAACGAAAAAGGTTGGATTTAAGGTTTCTTTTTTTAATTATTTTAATTTAGTTTAGAGGATGGAACAGTCAAGATGGACCAATAGGTCCCATGTTGTCCCAAAATGTTACATTATGTAACTAGGTTGATTTTTTTAATTTTTCTCTAAGTGGGTAGCTGATCGTAAGTTGATATAAATTTCTAGCTATATCTGACTCCTATGTTTTCTTGACTTTCTGACCTGTATGCATATTGAATATGAAGAGTAGCTTACTCATTTAAACACACAAGTTAAAAACTGGGCTGCTGTTTCTATCAGATGCCATCAGCCAGAAAGTTGGTTTGGTGTATGGTTTTATAACACACCTAACTTATCCTCTTTCATTGCAAAAACATATTTGATAAATTTAACAATTAATTTTTTTTTCATATTTTAGTTAACTAAGTCATATTCTTGTATTGCTATTAGTATAAACAAAACCTTTGGAAATTCACTTTTGTGCTTGGTCACAAAGTTCTACTGGGTGGAATTTTCTATCATCAAATAGCTGAGCAGATCGGATCCTTTACTGCATTAAACTGCAGTTTTTAGGTGATAATTCATAGATCTGGTTAAGTGTGATCCAAAGTTTCATACAGCCTGATTGGTTAGGTGGTGGTCGACAGATGGAGATAGTGGACCAATCAGGGTGTAGCAAGAAGAAGTGACCAGAAATTTAATCCAGGAAAACCTGTATAAAAACCCTTGTAGGGCAACACAGTGTTATAATCTCCTGAAGAAGACTTGTAGTCAAAACGTTGAGAATAAAACAATCCTGACATAGCATTCACAGTCTCATTGCTACCTTTAGTTTTTGTAGCTTTGACTTTCTTGTTTCAATACTTTTTGTAGCATTAAAACTTTCAACATCACTATAGCTAGTTCTTGTCTTTATAAAATAGTTTTTTTTTTATTATTATACCTGTACACTAAGGTTTTCTTGATCTAGATAAATTCATTCTGCTCTCATTTCATCAGGCTTGCTGCCACTTCCACCCATTTGTAGAATCCCATTGTGATGTTTAAGTTCTTTACTAGTAAGATGTAAGCAAGCCTCCATTGCTGTCCTCTGTTGTTTTTTTCAATTCCTTTGCTGATGACTTTAGTTTCCTTCCATTTGGGCAAGTTTCCTGCTTCCTCTGCATGTGCTACTATCGCAGTGGTCATGTTATGTCTTCTGACATTTGCTTTATGTTCATTTAGTCTTGTTGTCAGGTCCCTGCTGGCTTTACCTATGTAGACTTTACTGCACCCCCACATGGAATGCACTATACTACATAACTGTCTGTTGTTTGTTTCTGTCTTCTGTCCTTTACCATATCTACAATTTTTTATTCCTGTTTTTGTTACCACCTCTTTGGTTGTGTGTTTCAATAGTCTGTTGATGGAACTTGTATCCCAGGGATGATGTTTCTTGCTGTCTGTTTTAGCTTTATAAGCATGCCTATAGGGTATTGCAGTTTTCTGAAAGCTTCAATTATGTGTTCAAATAGTTGTAACTTTTTTTACGTAATCATGATAATTTAAGCAATCACTAAGTAACACTGCAAAGGCTAAACTTTTAGAATAGCAGCTTAAGTAAAGAACAATTCAAAGTAACTTAGATAACTAGTTTCTATTATACCAAACCTTTAGGTCATACACGGGTCGTTTAGCTTGCTGTGTAATTTTTTTGAGGTGATCTTCCTTGCTTTCTGGTGGCCCTAAATGTTTCACAACAATACTGGCTTTCATGTGATGTCCACTGAAAGAAAACCAACACAAAAACACATTATATATATTATATGCTTAGATGTTAAGACAATAATTTCCTCAAAACTCTCCTAACAGTTCAGTTATTTATTATATAGTTGGTATCATATTACATACCAGGTTTTTCAAAAATAGTTTTAATTGTTCAGACAACTGCAGCAGGAAATCGATGGACACAATGTTCTGAGACTTGATGTGTGGAGCAATTTGACCTTATGGACGATATTGCAGTGACTTATTCAAAACTGCTTGAGTAGGATTTTGGATAGTCACATTCATACCCATAGGTACCATGCAGTGTGACCATAATGTTGTCATAGCATATCAGAGCATAGTATTTAATTTTACATCATGAGCACAAATATGGTAACTTAGTAGTGGTTGAAGGGTCATTTTCTTAATGCAAAATGAATATCTCTTCTTGTCATCCAAATTTGTGGTATTTATATTACGATTATTTCAAAGATACCAACGAAAAACTTAGAATATGGACTGTATATATGTGTATACATAAAATATAAATATAATGTATGAAATTGTTTTGAAAATTAGTTTATTAATTAATACTTCTGACCTGAGCTGGCAATTCAATTAATGACAATTGTCATGATTGTTTTGAAAAATATTTTATATTTTAGGGGCACTATCTTATATATAATTCATATTCTTTGTTTCTTATCAAAGAATTTATGGTCAATATCTTTTTTTTACTATTAGTTTTATATAAGAATAATTGTTGGGAGACCTTTTGAATCAGGAGTCAAAGGTAAAATGCCCCATATGCACCCCCTGCCTACTTTACAACTGTTCTAAAATATAACTAAAGATACAGAATAAGGACATAAATAAATTACTTGTTTAATTTGTTACACAGTTCGTACTTGATAGTTCTAATCATAATTCATTAAAATATGGAGGCTTTTCTATCCTTGGATTTCCTGTTATTTTGGAGGTTATCTGTAAACACTTGTATGCATCTGCATTAATTTTTCTATCATGTTGTTAACTGTATTTTATCAAAAATTTTCTTCAAGTCTGTCAAAGTATTCTTTGCCATTGGTTGTCATTCTAATATTTAAAAAGAAATAAATATATACTTTTCTTTGCAGATCTTGTAGGCTTCATCCACTGTTTCCTTTAAGTTCAGTAACTTTGTTCCTCTCCACACTCCATCTGCCAATAAAAACGTGATTTAATGTGTGACTGTAGAAATTCGGAATACTAACATTATTCACAAACATATAAACAAAATTACAGTAAAGTCAAGTGAATGATATAAGAAAAAAAAAGATGCCTTCTTGTAGCAATCAGTAAAGACATTTATTAATTTTTCCTGGTGTTAAAAGTTTGAAATGTCTGCTCAATGTGAATTATTAATGTTGTATACAATAATTTAAAATACATTGAACAACATATTTCTCAATTTAAACTTAAAGCTTAAGTGGTGTATTTCATCCTTTACATACAAGTTGCTATAACATTCCGTTTCATACATAAACATGTAGAAACACCCATAAAAAAGGAACAAGGCAAATTTTAAACATTTTGACATACCTGCAGTAATAAGCACAGTACACTTTGCATCTAGGATCCGCTGAGCTAAGGATTGTGCTGAAAAACCACCAAACTGGAAATTGACAATAATTAGAAAAATCATTATTCAAAATATATTCAGACTTCAAGATAAAATCACTTTAAGCCACAATGAACAAAATCTTTCAATATTTGTTATTATTTTGTGCATATAAAAAATGGTAAAAATGTATCTTTTGCATTGGTGAAATATTTTTTTTAGAATTGTAATTGTGGTTATTGTCATAAGCCCTCAGACTTACTGGTGAGTCACCAGGTGCAACTAAAAATGCATTCAAGTCATTCTTATACTGTCAAAAGTATGTGTAGATAATACATTGGTGTATTATTTCAACTTGGGTAATATTGTAATGAAACACACCATGCTACTTATTACAAAAACAAATAACTTTTTTTTAAGCATAATAAAATATCTATTAATAAAAACACCAGTCAACTAGTTTTGACAAGAGTGCTGTCATCATCAGGATTGCTATTACAATAGAAATTCAGCCAAGGAAAAAAACATAATGACTACTATTCAAATACTAGAGTAGAAATAATTATTTCCAGATTGTTACGTTGTTTCAGCTATCGTTTGTGTTTATAGAAGTAGCCTCGAGTTTTTTTTAGCGTTTTTATATTCTTTCAATTGTTAAAATCAGGGCAGAGTACAGATAACCCATTGTGTAGCTTTTCGTTAAAATACTTTAACACCAAAAAACATTTTAAGTAAGATATAATACGAAAAATGGATAAGTAGTCACAACATCTGGTATAAGATTGTTTAAATACAAAGAAAGTAAAACTTTGAAGGTAAATTAATGGTCTCTCACTAGGTGACGCTTTTAAAATAATTTTCTAGCTCTTTTTTTCATACTTTAATATGGAGACTGCTATTATTATATACAGCACTATAAGGTGCTTATACAGTTTTTATTTATTCAATTTTAAATTACTAAGAAACGCATTTTTTTATTAATAAATAATTACTGTAAAAATACAAGGTGCTTACAATAACAGAATGAATGGCTCCAATTCGAGAACAAGCAAGCATGGCCACAACTACTTCCATTATCATCGGCAAATAGATGGCGACACAGTCTTCCTTCTTGACACCTGCATGAAAGTACACAGAAAACCATGACAACAGACAGATTTTCGAAGCGGATAACTAGGAATAGAAACTCTCGTCTTTAAGAAAACAGATAGTTTTCAAACTACGCCTTTTGGCAAAACAATTGTGTGGCTAAAATTATTTTTATTTTTCCAAAAATCAATAAATTTGGAGTAGTTTTATGGTTTACTGCTACCTCGATGTTTCAGTTTTCAATCTCTAAACTAAGATGTAGGTCGTACTTTTAAAAAAAATTCTTATAGTTGCCACAGGTTTAATTTGGCAGCAGCAACCCATAATAACGAAACAACACAACAACATCTTCCTAGGTTTGTTTGTTTTTGTTTTGTT